TCAAGGTAGGTATAATAAATATGCGCTTATGTAAGTGACAGAGGTGTTTCTATGGTCAAAATACATATTTTAATAAATCAATATACAAGGCAACTGTTGGCTTACAAATACGTTAACTGTTTTATTTAGAATAAACAGTGATGACAGAAATGGTACTTTGGTATAAACTGGGTATAGATTTTGCCACTATGCAGGTATAAAAATGGTCACACTTTTGAGCACTCAGGGACACCTCCCTGCCAAGCTATGTGTCAACTGCCCCCGGGCCGATCAACTAAATCGTAGAAGGACGATCGGATCAAATTACACCCAGACTACGTGTCTTCGATCATCAGCATAACTTAAAGAGCCGTAGTTGTTGTGCAATGCGTGTTCTAATGCCATATGAATGTTGTGTGCGTATCGCTATAGAACACATATCTAACGCGGCGCGACGACAACCGCCTTCAAAGTAGGAGGTTCATTTATCATTCGGCGAGACCTGCGATGGACAAAGACTGGAACATGGAAGTCAGTGCACAGGAACAGATGAAGCGTACTGAAATCGAGGAGTTGTATTTGTAGAGACATCCACATGAGTGATGTAACCTGACCTCTGACCCCCTCGAGACACCCATCACGTCCTACCGCGCATCTACTCATTCAATCACTCACCTCCTTTCATTTAAAATTGCCAACAGAGCGTTAACGGCAGTGTTTATGAATAACCAGGTTGACGGCACTGTGGGGTCACGATAATTGTCCTCAAATAAACAAACGCGTTTTTGTTCACTTTCATCATTGGTATTCAAGGCACGAAACTATATTTCGTAATCAATCAAAGTCAATCCACTTTTACATAAATCATATAACGTACTGTCATCGGCTTCTCTGAAGGTTGTCGTTCGAAATTCCTACTCGGGGTGCGACGTTTACACCGGCTCCCTGAAAACCAACTGATACGGCGCCGCTATTGTTTATAAGTAGGTATGGACCCCCACCCGTAAAACACCAACAACACATGGTATCATTAGATCTCTTGAAAAACTTCAAAGACTATTTTGATTTTATTTCGAAGCAGTAGGGCAAAAATACCCTTACTGGTCATGGGAAATCGCTATAATCTCTCGAGAAATCCGCTGCCGTTGTCGCCATCGATAACTAGAAATACGTTCCGGCTACCCGCACACAGCGTCGATAAACTGTTAAAATATGTTAACAATGTTACGCGTAGAATAAACGATTCAACATATACTACGTTAATTACGTGACATGTATATGTCCAAGTAAATAAAAATCGTCCGCAAAAAGACGCCGATAAAATCTTAACTACGTGTCTTCTTTCACATCCGTACTTGAGATCTACATTTAGAAACGATTAAAACTAGCTTTAATTAACTACTTCAAGAACATTTCTAGTCATACGTTAATACTGTCTCGTTAGTTGTGTTTTTTTAAATAGGCCAGTCGAAATGTCCGACTACTGATATTTTTATTTGAGGTGTGAGTACTAACTGTACACAAACATGATCGTCCATTTGTCACACAAACCATACAGTGTTCCAGGCAGGGATTTGGGAACATTTTCTACCTGTAGTGAATGTCATCATGGGCATTTTGGTGATAAAGGATGGGGTGGGGAGGGGTATTACGGCAAATCCAGATCACTATTTATGTTGTTTGTGTTCTATTCTAATTTTAATCTAGTAAGTACATTTGCTGCGAAATTAGGTTTAACTTGGAGTGCCCTTTCAATTTAACAAGGTCGGAATCCGATAGAAATCAACCACCAGCACACGTTGTTAACGAATGCCCCCAAGTCGTACACGAAGTGAACTACTGCATTCGACTGGCCTTGGCCTCACCATGCAATCTGTGACACAGTCACATTGAGTAGCGGTTGACCCTTATTTTGTATTCAGCCCCAGATAGTATGTGAACTGGTGAGCAATTAACTGACACAAAAACCACGAAGTACCAACTCATTAACCCACAACTTACCTAGATGAATTAATAGTTGAAATAATCTAAAAACACTCTAAACATCAATATATTAAGCTACACTGCTACTGAAGAAAATGATTTAAAATGAACCACCACAGCTCAAAATTCTATAATAACCCCCCCTAGTGCCTATAACCGATTTCTTCCATTGAATTCCGAATGTGTTTTTACTCGAACAAAGTTCTTCACAGAGCTAACGTGGCAATGTCTTGAAAGGACGGTAAACGTACAAAAAATTGAAATAAGTATATTTATTTGACAATTGTAATACATTACCACGTGTTAGTGAAACTACTCTGAATAAAATAATAATGAAAAATAACAATAGTAATGTATTTTATAGTTAATTATATATCGTAAAAAAATAATGTATATATTATGTTATTATACATGTTAGAGCATTTTACTATTATTATATTAAAATCTGAAAATTGCACATGTTTGCCATGATTGTAGTATTAAGAAGCTCGTCATTATATGGTGACTGTGTTGTGCGTTATTGATCTAAAACAGTATTACAGGTATGGACACACTAATTATAACAACCGGGTTTGTATGTATGCACAAAAAGTATACGCACGCACACGTACAAGTCACGCGAGAGTAGCATACTTTAGTTCAAAGCGAAATCTGCTCTATTTCCACAGACCTCCCTACTTTTTAAAAATACAAAGTTATTAAAATCTTATGCAATATAGAATATAATTATACAATATGTATACATAATATTTACAATTGTTCGAAAACAGTTCATATTTACAAGAAAAACTGTTTCGAAATTTGAAAGAACAATGTCAATATTTCAATGTAGTATTACATTTTTTCTTTATATGTACTTCGGTCTGAAGATGAAGAACGGGGATGTCTTTATATTCGACACACTATTTTAGATGATATTATATGTGCTCATTTAGCATGAATTATGTTGTATTATCAATTCATTTGGTTAATTCACGGTGTTATTAACGTGTTGAAATAGTTAATAATATAATTATATATCATAGCTAAAAGTGTTTTGAGTCCTCCAATATGGGATGGCATTTTACACAAACCGCAAAAGGAACTGAATTTGGAATTAAAATTTCAGTCATGGGTCGTTGTGCGTCAGTTTGCCGAGGCTTTGAGGCAAGGCTAACGTAATTATCTGTTACTATTAACATTTGTTGTCACAGCTAGTAACTGCTGGATATGATGTGCAATACATTGATAATACGAATAGAGTAGGATAAAGTGTAAATCATACTTGTACTTGTATTTAAAAATACAAAGCGATATGGAAATGTATAACTTTGCTTATTGGTATACACGCTGGGTTGTTATTTTTTGTTTGTAAAATAAAAACACTGGAATATAAACTTCCCCAATTAGCATGTATTTTGAATACGAATACGTACTGATTAATCAAAGCGCATGCGCTGTTTTTTCATTATCTCATTAATTTTAAAATATTCATATTCCAGGGTGTATACCAACATCATTATACAATAAATCACACTAAATTTTTCATATATAATCCAGGAACAATGGAGCTGTTGCAAAACCATATCTGAAATAGGGGGTCTATTATATTGCTTAGACGGCAAAACAAAAATATAACCCTCGCTATAATTCAGAAGTCTTTTTCGAGTGAATAATTTCAGGATTGAAAACATTGCCATATTTGAAAACTTGAATCGCCCCGCAATTTCCAGCTGACATGTCATACTGATATGATTTATAATATGCTAAATACAGACATTAAAAATCGTTCTCGTCACCGCCCTATCACTGTGAATGTTACGCAATACTTAACTGTACTGTACACAAATCTACACCGCCATCAACAAGTATTACCATAAATAAAATAACATCAAATACAAAAGGTACAAATACACACAACTTAGTTACATTCAGCGGTGGATACAGAAATAAAAAACTACCGTTGAACACAAGTGAAATTTGATGGAAACACCCTTTATGAAAGACTGCTTCTCACGTTTCAATTGTTTGTTTAGTAAACACAATTAAAGAAATAAACCACCCATACAGTAACATTATAATACTGGCGCTGACGGACAACACGTAAATGTATTTGACTCCTAAACGTTTGAGACTCTAATTTCACGTGATATATACGCCGAGGTACGTCACCAAAGTCGTCATTTCCCTTAACACCAAGACCTGGCGCTTAATGTCACTTTGGAATGTCACGCAATCCAAAACAAAGTTGTAGCTACAGTTTACTTTAAACGATCTTACAAGTTACAACATGATATCACGTGACCTATTATACATTTACATACATCAGTTAAACAACACAAACGTTATTTTGTAGACGTAAGAAATACCTAATACGATTCATGGATTATTCGCAGATATTTCGGCGTGCCCGAGATTATTGATATATACATGACAGTGAGATGGTTAGCATTTTCTGAAATCATACAACACTAACTACGTAATGTGGTATATAACCATAAAAATACATTGTACATTTCAACCTTCACGTTTTTTGTTATTGTAGTTTGAATTCATACAATATATATTTGATAAATTCGCATCTATATTTAATATCTCATTCACCAATTACAATTTTATGATTTTGATTCGAAATATTCAAATATTTGATCATTAAAATGCATATAATTATGCGGTATTGAGAGAAAAGAACAATGTAATATAAATGAAATAAATCATAGAATTGCCCGTAATAGATTATATACGCTTAATATGTACACGTAATGTTCTATTAAAGATTGACACATCACAACATATGACCGTGACATTCGTGCAACCCACAGCAACCACATTTTCAATAAAAAAAACATCATTTGGTGCTCCTCGGTCACTCATAATTTATCTCGATCACGCAGGCACGTGTTCAATATTAGCTTTTAGCAAGGAAAACACGTTATCAACTACTAGTAACTGGTTTTGGAAACCAAACAGAATCTAAATTGTATAAACAATTCCTTGCCTGTACATGCAAATGTAAGGCATGATAATTACGTAGAGACGGATGGGCACAAAACCTCCGTTCATCTACTGGCAATTGACATTACAAAGCATGAAAACAAAAACAAAAAATAACTGTGAGAAGTCGGCGTCCCACCATTGGTAAGCTTTCTGCCTGTGTCTGGGTATTTAATTGTGATTACAGGCTTCCTTGTGGGTATGGTAATGTTGGCTGGTGGAATAAGATGCACATTGACTGTCGATGAGCCAACAGAGTTCCTAGCCTGGCACGATATTCTATAAGAGAAGTCGATTTCTTCAATATCAATTATTGTTAACCATATGTATTGTTGGTCAGTCGAACGAAAAAACCTGTCTGGATCTGGAACGTTATCGGTTCCATCAAACAACCACCTAATCTGCTGAATCTGGCTGGGATTCCCGGATGCTTTGCAGTTGATAAGCAGCTTCATACCTAATTTACATACAACTACCTGTGGGTCGACTAAGACAGTTGGAGGATGGGCAACGATGATAGGTCCTATACTGCACGTACGTGGACGCTGGCGACTTGGGTGGGATTCTGAGCATGTAATCGTTTGATAATTGTCCAGTGATGACAATTCCCACTCATAGGTAATTTTCCACCTGTTGTTGCCAGAGTCAAGAGTCAAACTAGAATTAAGGATCTCACCAGTACGTTTAAATTCCAGGTTTGGCGCTGGGTATCCACCTCTGGATTCGCATGTAATGCCAACTGTGCTCCCTGCAATATTGGGTGTATTATCCATCCGGATACCGTCTGCGGTACACAGAGGGTAACCAGAATCAGGTGGTTTAATTCCTGTTATGTACTGAGACGGTGTAGTTGAAAGTTTTTCTGTAAAGACCATAGACCAAGTTGTGGACATTGTTTGTAAGATTTCCATGTGGATGAAAGCCACAGTAATTCCAATCTGGTTGCCTGCTTCACAAGCAATGTTTTTAAGCACGTCTTCCTGGTTAACATTTTGTATGGATAACATAATTCCACCTTCATGTAGGGTGGTGCTATAACGCGCGTTATCTGGAATTCTGGAATCGCCGTCAAATGTCCAAAGATAGGTAAGAGGCTGCGGATTACCTTCTGATTCACATTGGAACACAACATTCTGTCCGAATACTACTGTTATTTCAATTGGTGAAATTGTTATAATCGGTGCAAACTCAACATTTATAGGTCCAATTTGGCATGATCCTGATTCTGATAAACCTGGATGTGTTAATTTACATGTAAATATCATCCTATTGTCCTGAGGGGATAACACCCAGCGATACTGCTTTGTCCAAACATTATTTACATAATCCAAGACAGAGTTGATCTCAAGAAGTTCGTCATTTCGGAACCAGTCAAGCTCGGGTGATTGATATCCACTGGGATACTGACACATGATTACAACAGTGTCCCCAGCCATATTTGGTTGGTTTCCATGGCGAATTCCATCTGATGAACATGAAGGATTGTTGGGTAGTGTTGGTTCCTCTGTAGGCATCGTCACAATAACTGGTGCCTCTGAAGTGACTGTGAAAGCAGGCTGCAGTAAAACGGGTTCTAAAGTAGTGCTGATGGAGTTTGTTGCTGCGCACATAATTGTAATAGAGAAGTCAGACCTTTGAATACCCATTATTGTTAACCAAACAATACTATTTGTCTCACTTATAATATAACGGTCTGAATCTGGTAGTGTTGTTTCTCCATTGAAAAGCCACTTAAGTGACGTCACTGATGGATGACTAATGACAGAACAGGTGGCGGATATAACATCACCCAAGTTAGCCTGCATACTCCGAGGCTCAATGGTAACTTTTGGTGAGTATCCTACGTTCAAAGGACCAATAGTGCATATACGTTCTCCAGCTAGATTCGGATGTGTTTCCCGGCAGCTGAACAATGCACCATTGTCCTCCCAGTCAAGAGTCCATGCAAAACTACTCTGCCATATAGAATTTACTAAATCATTGTTGATTTCAGCTTCAAGATCAACATTCCACCTCTTCAATCGTAGTTGTGATGGTTCACTCCCACCTCGTGACTCACACGTGATTGATACATTTGTACCAGCAATATTCATCTGGGAAAGAATACCACTGGTGGTACAAACTGGATACCCCTCAATGGGCTTATCACTGCCCTCCTCTGTGGTGGTTGGTAACATTGTGGGTTGCAGGAAATCTATTCTGATATTGGTGGAAGTTGTCCCGTATTGATTAGAAGCCCGACAACTGATTGTCTGTAAAGCATCACCATGTTGCACATTATATATAGTAAGATATAAAATACCACTATCAGAGTTAATAGTGTAACGAGCTGGATCTGGGTTGGTTGTTTCACCATTGAAATACCACTCATGATTGGTTATTCTTGGATTTCCCTCTGCCACACATGTAAATATTAACAGTTCGCCATTCCTTGCCTCTACCTGTTGTGGATTTATGACCAGGAATGGTGGATATACAACATTAAGTGGCCCGATATAGCAAGATCTGGTTTGCTGCAACTGAGGATGTGTTTCTTCACAAGTTAAGACAACATTGTTATCACTTCTTTTCAATGTCCGTATGTGTGTACAAGTCCAAGTTGCTGAAGCAATGTTGTTGTTACAGCTTGCATCTAATTCGCCGCCACTTTGTTTCCAAACTAACTGAGGGGGAGTATTCCCACCACGGGATTCACATGTGATCTCAATCTGACTACCAACAATGTTAATAGATGGAGCAGTGTTCAATCCTTGTATAGAGCATTGTGGATAATTTGGGTAAGGTATATCTAGGTCCTGTGTTGTAGTTGGTATAGTAGTTACAGCAGATAATAATAATCGCACTTCTTTGAATGTTGTACCAATTGTATTTGTTGCATGGCAACGAATCATGTTATTGACATCACTCTGTTTAACATTATTTATCGTCAATGTCCCAGAAGATGCGGTATACCTGTATGGCAACTGTGGCACTCCATTCACATACCACTGTACCATTGCAAGGGGATTTGAAAATGCCTGGCAGTAGAATGATACAGTATCACCTAATGAGGCTTGATATATTTCTGGATCAACTGTGACAACAGGTTTGTACTGTATATTCAATGGACCAATTGTACAAGTGCGGATGTCTGGAAGGTTGGGATGGCTTTCACTGCAGATAAAAATAGCGCCATTATCATCTTGTGTCACGATGAAATCATAGGTATTTATCCATATTTTATTGGACAAATCAATGGAGAATAAACCCGTGATAGGGGAAGTATCTTGTGCCCAGGTAAGTTCAGATGGTACATCACCACCACGTGATTCACATTGGAGGCTCACAGTGGTCCCTTCAATAAGTATTAGGCTATTTGGATAATATGTGCAATCAGGAAAACCGTCATATGGAATTGAATCGCTCACTGTTGTTGTAGGTATTGTTGTTGTTGGTTCTGATGTCAGTGAAAAATACACAGTTCGTGTTCCAATGGTATTTGTAGCTCGACACGTGATACTCTGGTCAAAGTCTTTTCTTTGTAGACCATATATGGTCAAAGATGATGTTGATGCAGATGAGGACACAACATATCTGGTATCTGGTACCATGGTAACACCATTAAAATACCATTGAACTGAAGACGGTAATGGGTTACCAGTTGCAGTACATGTAGAAAACACAGTGTCACCAATGCCTGCTTCTTTACTTGTCGGATTTAATGTAACAATTGGCATATACTGTACATTAATTGGCCCAATTGTGCATGTTCTCGGAAAGTAAAGTCTAGGATGAGTTTCCGTACAAGTGAAAGTGATTCCATTGTCATCTTTGTCTAAAGTTAAACTATAGGTACTAGTCCATCTTTTGTTGTAGGTATCCGTATAATAATAGTCATTCACATCCTGGTAGTCAT